TTTGGAAGATGATGGAATTTCCCCATAAACAATTCCTTACTTTTTATCAGAAGATATCTAATCTGCTTATATTAAAACCTATGATAGTAGAATATTACATCTGATATAAGAAATTAGTAATAACATACGATTTTTAAAAAACCTTATTTTTAAAATAATCAACTAATTAATATATGCATTCACATAAGACATAACTTACGTTATAGAATATACTTCAAGTTCACCCTCTTTATCTAAAGGTATGATTTTAAAAATGTGTTCAAATAGTTTTATCATAACTATTTTGGCATTAGGATCAATTTTGGCCATAGATTCTGTTGCAACCCCAAAATGATCAAATACATTACAATGACCTTTTGTTATTATTTCAATTTTATCGGATGCCTGAATAAATTCTAAAATCATTTCATTATATTCAGCCGTTACTACAAATACAAGGTCTGTATTTTTGTTCTGAAAAATAAAAATGATAATAACAATCTTATTCATTTGAATCTAGTAGTTTTAAAATGATTCATCATCATTCATCATACTTTAGGTCTAAAAACTTTCATTATTTCAATTTTTCCATTTAATTCCGTTTCTGATAGTAACAAGAGACCATTTTCATTAATCAGATATATTTCTATGCAATTTAATTTTGTAACGATCAAATTGAGTTGTGTTGGTGAGATGAAAAATCCTAAATTTATAAAAAAAAACCACACTTGTTAAATAAATAAATAATATATTCCGGCACATTTGGGGAAACAAAAATATCAGGTATCTAAAAATTATAATGTGTACATAAACGTATAGGTAACATTGATTTTAAGGATTTTATATTTATTTTACCAAATAGATATTGAGTAATAATTTAATGCAATATTCAAATTTTTCTCCATAAGCCTATATTTTCGGGATGATTAATTAATTACAATTATATTCATAATTTAATTCAAATTAGATATTTATTTTGTTGTGTATATGTTTATATTTTCCATTCTATTCTTTGCATTTTTAGTTTGTCTTATTAAATTGTTCACAGTTCAACTATTTTATCATGAATAGTATTTTTGAGCTGGATACACATTTTTTGTTTCTGATCGATTTTTCGTAAGGTTTTTGTTGTCATGGTTACTTATTAACAAAAAATATTTATGATACAACATGGCAAAAGTCTATAATATTATCAGGTATTTGATTGTTCACATGGACTATCAATTTCCTTGCGATAGTGGGAAATATTCAGAAGTGCCCATCATTAAGTTAAATCCGCAAGTAACAAACATATAGATACCTGATTCGCTGAAACTGGGGGCAGTAGCCTTGACAACTGTGGTCGTGTAAAACTGGGAATTCATTATGGACTATGGTGCTGGTTTCAGTGTAGGTCCACAGTTGATACTATGGTGGAACAATCCCAAATACTATATAATATATGTACAATGTACTTGTCTTGCCTAAAATTTAAACATCAATATAAAATTACATTATTTACAATAGGTAC